AAAGCTCGTCAACAAAAAAATTGATAATTGTTCAAAGACTTTTTGATTATATTACTTTTCTATCAAACTTCTAATTAAATCCTATTTTCAATACTTTTTCAAATACTTTTTTTTTTCTAATTGAATCCTCCTAGGGAGTATTGTCTAATTATTACTTTCTAATTATAAATATGGCCAACTGAGCCCAACTGAGCCCAACTGAGCTCAAACAACAAAAAGATAATGGATGATTCAGACATCGAAGCAGCAGCAATATTGCTCCAAATGCAAGCAGCAGCAGCACTACTCAATTTTCAAATTCTGCCAGAAGCTCGTCAACCAAATGCAGCCAACGCCCCTCCAAATAACTTAAGGGCAGCTGTCCACGGACCTCCAGGAGTCCCTGATAACTTGCAAGAATTTCCAAGAAGACGTCGTTCTGCAAGACCACAGCATCAATCAGTGGCATCGGTTGAGTGGGGTGAAAGAAGAGCACGTTCAGCAAGAGGCAGGTTGCAAGATTAATCTATTTCAATTAGAGAAAAATGTTTTTTTGTTTTATATCTATGTTTGTTACTGTGGCATAACTAATGTAGATCTTGCGTTATGCAAGTTGCTTATGTAAAATAAACACAAATTGGCACAGCAAATCAGCCCCTATACCGTTCAGCAAGAGGCAGGTTGCAAGATTAATCTATTTCAATTAGAGAAAAATGTTTTTGTTTATACCTATGTTGCTAATCTTTTAAGTTGTTATTTTGATTACCTTTTATCATATATAATTATTGTTTAACTTTTAAATTATATTATGAACTAATAAGCGATTACAAAAAAATTTCGGACGGCCAAATCATCACATGATTAAACATCAATCCTTAAGTTTCTTATGCTTTTGTTCATTTATAATTGAACGGAAAAGAAACAGATTCAAAGACAAGATTCAGGGCAACAAGTCTCCACAAATTCAATTAAAAGAAATAATTTTAATGTCAAATAATTAATAGAAAAAAATGATTAATAATTTTAACTTTAAGAGCTAGATTCATACTTTATGCATCTGGACTTTAATCTTTGAATCAATTCCAAACTCTTTATGGATTAGAATTTGTGACTTTCTACTGATTTTCTTGATTGCTTAAGTTTAGTTCTAAAATTTTTTTTTCTCAAATAATTGTTATTTTGTTAAACATAAATTAACAAAATTTTTAAGAAAAATCAAAAGAGAAACTTGGAAACGAATAGAAGGAAACGACTGCTTGCGAAGCCTGTGAGAGAGGGTTCGAATGAACCCATTTAATTTCGTACTTGGCTGGGGCGCACAAGCAACATTGTTGGCAACTTTTTTTTCTTTAGTACTTCTGGTTTCTCAAGCTTAACGTTTTGGTCTCATGACTCCTAAGTTCATTAATTTAGACCTGCAAGCAATTCCCAATTTCAAAGTTTTATAGCTCCTTCCAATCAAGTCCAATTTATTTCATTTTATTTCTTTTTACCCAATTAATTTCCAATTTTGTCATTCAAACTTTAAAATTGAATTTTTAAAAAACTAATTTAATTTATAATACCTAATCAAAATCAAATTATAACACACTAAACTAACTAGAGTCATCAAGCCATTGGCTGGGCGCCTCTTTTGGGTTCCTAATAGAAAATACTAGGGGTGAGCATGGGTAGGCATGGGTCAAGTATTTGCCTATATCTGTACTTGACTTGAATAGTGATAAATATAGAATTTCAATATCCAGTGTTTACCTAGGTATTGAAAATTTATACACATTATCCAACTTGTTCGATATAGGTATATCCACAGGTATATTTGTATACTTACTAAATTTTACACTAAAAATACATAAGCTAATATATAACTACAAGTTCATGCATATAATACAAGTTTATATATATAACAAAATACGTGAGCACATATACTTACACATACACAAGTTTATATATACAATAACAAAAAAAATACAAATAAAAATTTACATGATTTTCCTTCAGTTGAATCTTCACTGGTAAAAGAAAAGAAAAAAAAACCATAGACATTTTAATTTCATAATATTATATTACAAATTAATTGTATAAAATTAGAATATATGTTAGGTACATGGGTCAAATATATAAGTTAGGTATATGGATCAGATATACAGATTAGTTATGCAGATATTGAACTTCATACCCAATACTTATCCCACACCTAGTAGGTATGCATTTTTCATACCTGATATTTAACTATCTTTTCACATGTATAGATAAAATACCTACCTAAACAACTCAAGTACCCACAAATATTAGATATACCCATACCCAATACTCAGCCTTAGAAAATACGATAAGCTCCAAATCACAACTTACAATCATAATAGTTAATACATGAGCCCTAGGTGCCACTATTGGACTATATAGAGAAGCCACGACACTAGATTTAAACAGTTCTATTTCATTTTTACACAGAATTGGGCCACTTTAAAAATGGGCTCTTTCACCCCTTTCCCTCCCCCGTTGTTTGTACTACCAAAACATCAAAGTGAAAAATCAAAACAAAATTTGATAAAATCAACACTTATCTCTTATATTTAAAAGTTATGATAAAATATTTTGATATTTTTAAAGATAACATATCTTAATTTTTTATTTTCTCAAATCTATTATAGAAACAAAATCACACACAACATTTTTATTTGAGTGTATAAATATATTAGAAAAGTGAATTGCAGTCCGTAACAATCCCTCTACATAGGATGCAGTGGCATGCATAAAGCCTGTGAGGAAGATAGGATGGTAATTCTATGTCCTTTCTTCCTCCCCTTCCTTAGAAGAAAGAGAAGGGGACTCAAACATACTAAACACCCTATAAGCAGAAATCGCAGCCAAGAAAATGAAGCAGCAGAAGACCAAGGCATGGAGAATTAAGGCTACTTTCATTTTATAGCAGAATTTCCCATATGAACTGCAGGTTTCACTCCACGTCACTTTCTGATCACCATAGTAAGCCAAGTACAATATCTCTGTCACTGCTGCCCCTGATGTTACCATCAAGTATGCTACAATCTGCCCAAATATTAATGCCCATCAACGAAAGGTAACATAAGAAAGAGCAAATTACAGATATTAATGTGTTGTAAACCTCTTTTCTTTGTTTTTATTTTTATTTTTTTTAATTTCGGTTGCACAATAAGAAATAATTCTCTTTCATCCTTTTAACTCATTCTATCCACATGCTTTGTGAGTCAAATTGGGGGACTTTTTACTTCTACTAAAAAAAAGATTAGCACTGGATGACTTAATTAGTTTGTTGGCCTTAATCTCTTTTTTATTAAACTTAATTTAAATGTGCATCTTGAGCGTTTTAACATTCTAGAAGTTGAATAACTTCTCCAAAAACTCTAATTTTATTTTTAGACATATTTGGCCTAATTTCACGCAAGAAACTATTTTAGAAATTAGGCCAATCTATGGACAAGATCCTATCGAGTTAAGCAAGGAACATTAGGAAGTTATGTTGAGGGAAAACCTGATCTGAGACAAAGAAAATCCAAGCTTTGGAAACTAAGCATTTGAACCATGAAGCCACAACTGCGACAAAAGCATAACCGGCACATATGGCAGAAATGAACACCATATACCTGTGAAAAACCATTTCAATACTTTCTTAGGGAAACAAGCAGAAAAGCAATTAACAATGCTAGAACATAAAAGAAGGCAAGATTTCTTACTTGAGTCCCAAAAGATTGCTGAACTTTATGGTTCCATAGGTACTGTTTTCCTGGTCATTAGTCACAGTTATCCATATTGTTGCAACACTAAGAGGAACCACAGAAAGCCTCAGAGAACAATCCAAGAACTTGAGGATTGGGATGTGGGTATTTGAGCTGTTGTTCTCCAGATTGCTTCTCATCTTTCAATGTAGAGCAAAAACCCAAACTGAGGTACAAAAAAAATTGAAACTTTAATGAGAAAATGGGGAAGAAAATGATTAGGAAGATGTTGGATTTATATGATGGGTATTTGGGGTTAGGTAAAACATAATCCTCCTCAGTGTGAAAGGAAGGGCTAGAAAGTTGGAAGGGTCTCAGAAGTGGGAAGGAATGTGGGGAGATTTTATTGGAAGGAGTGAGAAGCAGTGGTTCTGCTTTTTCAGATGAGAAATGATGTTACATTATTTTTTTAGGATTATCTTGTGTAAAATTCCATGGTTGATTCCATGTCTTATAGGTGTGTGGTCTCCCCTTTTCTTGGCTCTGAAAGAATCAACCAACTAGATTTTCTCTCCAAGTGAGAGATTTTGGTGAGCACTTTGACTGTTGTTTTGGATCCATCCTATCCTATACGTACATTTCTAGGGTTCTTCACTCATATGGCCACAAGACGGACTTAACTACATTGATTCATAAATCTTTTCCCCGGGAAAGCGATGGAAAGAGATCATTAAAGGAGAGAATGATGAAAAAAGAGCAAAACACAGATCAAAAGTTGAAGATAAAAGCAGTACATGAAGAAAATGGTAGCACAAATATCGGCACTTATTATGGAGTTGACATACAAAATGCCCCACTGGAAGCAATTGAAGAATGGCTAATTACAAACACACACTCTCTCTCATTACTACAGCTATTGGGGTCTCTTCCTCCTACAAAATGGAGAAGAAACTTAAGCTGCATGAACCTTTCTCCCTCCCGATTCTATGTTGTCTTACATTTTGAAATTACATTCATTTTCTGTATACAAATTGCTCGAACCAGCTCAAGAAATCTGGGTGTTTCCTCTCTTTTTTTGGCCCACCTACATGCATCCCCCTGAGTTTGGAGGCAATATTGTTTTTCAAAAAACTGCATGCCATAGTGAATTTTCACCCTCTCCACACCTTCGGTGAACATCCTTCATCCTCTCGACTGATTTGCAGATCCCACTGCAGGTCCAATCAAATGAGGCAACACAGACATTCCCTGCCTGAGCCTTCCACTCGCAATCTGCAGTCAATATTTGGTAGTATCAAACTAATAGTCAAAATTATTCTTGCTGGATAATATCAAGTACTTCTAGTGTCAACAGTTATTCATTTTTCTACTTATGTTCATTTTAGTTCATGGCATTACCTGCTGTACCACAGCACAGTCTACGGTCATCTATATGCTCCATGTCCAATCCAATAAACCATGATCCTAGTGAAACATCTTCATTGGCATACTTGTGCAGCACATGCCTGCAAAATTATCATTTCATAAGTTGTGGATAATTTGATATATGAATAACTGATTTCACAAGGGATCAGAATTTACTGGTTAATCGATATGTAAGAAGCCAAATCTCTAGATATAGCATATAGCTGCCCTGTAGCATGACGGAAATACTTGTTTCCCTCCTCTCCAAATTTCCAATACTCAGGTTCATGGTACCTCACTCCCCTGTTCATGAAGGGCCCAAAATTGAGAAAATAGCTAAATGAAAACATAAAACACACTGGATAAAAATTGACGATGTTGAGCTTTCATAGATTACTTCTGAGCAAGAACTGGACCAGATTTCATGCAACCAATATAGACCCTGGGGTTGGACCGATGTCTAGCCAAAGTTGCCCCAAGTGTTGCTGTAACAGTATACCTCAAGTTAGTCATTAAAAATGAAAAAGAGAGAGACTATGTTTTGAGTAATATCCAGTTTAATTGCACTAAAACAAGGAAACATTATTTAGACACATCATGAATATGCATAAAGTCCCATTTAAGTTGTCATTACAAAAACTTTAAGCTCTAAAGGAAACTCAAGGTTTCTGGCCACGTTAAAAGATAACATTGGCTCTAGAAAATATTCGCTGTAATCTTGAAGTTCATTTTCCTGGAGTACAATTTTGGAAAGTGTGCATGGAAGAAGGGGAATGGGAGACACAGTAGCAGAAAATAGAATTAATGAATAGATTCATCTTTACCTATGTTTACATGCACATCATCATCCACTTTGACATAGAAATCTGCATCCCATAAAGCAACAGCAGTGGCAAAGTATATCTTTGTCTTGGCTGACAATTCAAGGTAGCCCTCAACATGCTCCTGCTCCAGTGGGATTCACAGAAACAAGGAAGCGTATATTAGCTTCTAACCTTGATGTTCAACATAAGGATGGTGCTTTGGAAACCTTTCATTTTATGCTTATGTCCGAATGTAAAAATTAAAAATCTAACAATGAACAGGATCAGGGGGGCTCTACCAATCTCAGAAAGTCGCCATGCTTCCTGTCCTCTGCTTCAACAGCCTTATCAAGGATACCCCCAGATGTAGCACTGTCAATGGAAAAGTTGGACAAAATTGAGTGAGATTCCTTCTATCAAGATAGTCCATGGCTTTATATTGAGAAGAATAATAGAAGCTGACTTTATCCAAAATCATTTTTTAATTCAAACGAAGTACCCACCTGTGACCAATTACAAAGCGCATTATGATGCCCTTCTCTTCCTCAAGCTTCTTCCTTTTTTCACCTAGTTCCAAGTAAAAAAAAAAAAAATACTATTAATAAATAACCATATGATCTGTCAAATCCCATGGAAATCAGTGATAATTCCACAAACCTTGAGGCATCCAAGTAGCACGAACTGAATCTCTTCGTTTGCGGCTACTAAAAGCAGTATTAATTCCTACTACCATCAAATATTTTCTTTTCACTGTTGATTTAGGGATTTTCATGTCATCTGAAATGGGAGACCCATTAATTATAGATTCCTGTGCTGCCCTTGCAGCAGCCAACTCCATTTCCAAATTTGAAATTGTCTTATCCAGTGTTCTGCATTTCACAGGTAGATGTAAGATGAAATTTCCATTAAACACCATGAAACTGAATGAAATATGTACAAATAAAAGCTTACTGTATAGCATGATGAGTCTTTGAAACTTCTCCCAATATGTCCTTCGATTCATGCTTCACATCCTTCTGCTGAAAACAAACACACAAGCGTGTCAATAAGTTAACAAAAGCTAGCTCAGTGGTAGCAAAGGTTTTTCATACTGATTTGGACTAATACGTACCCTTAGAGGATCACAGCCTTCTGTAATTAACCTTAGCTTTTCATCTACTTCTGCTTCTTGTGATATACCTTTAGCTTCAGGCTCTACCCATACTCTGTTACCAAAAGATGTAATTATCATTGCAGTAACATAGGAGAAGAGAGGAACTATAATATTGATCTAGAAGCCAAAATAAAAGTACAACTACATTAATCTTTCTGAGAGCAAAAGTAGTTGGTAACTCTTTTAATAATTTGCATCTTACACCAACTATCGTGATGAAAGCGTCCAAAAGAAAATTCTAAATTTTGATAAAATATCAGTGTATCAAGGTTTTTTTTTTTTTTGGCCAGCCAGCTTATTAATTGTTTAAATAGCTAAAATGCCATGTGAAGTAGACCTTCGGTTGCTTGGAAGTATCTCTAGTCTGTAATGGCATGAAGTCAGCCAACATCCAAGAGTTCTATCATAGAAATCACTGCTGACTGTGAAAGGGAAAGGTTTAACCTGACCTAGGCCAGGGACCGCCTGAATGAAGGAAAGATCAAAAGGATCAACAGCTTAGCAGAAATATACTTTCCATGAGGTACTGAAACCTGGGGAACTAGATGAAAGGTAGGGCAGGGTGATAGGTGGGAAGGTCATGGAACTTTAGAAGAGTTTACACCACAAATGATGCTAAACAGTGCAATCAGGGTGGGCAAGCTATTCATCAAATCTGAATAAAAGGAAGGAAGAAGAAGAACTATAACAAGAGAAGCAGGTCCCAAGGGCCAAAATAATTCAGAAGGAACCAAGTTTAAGCACCAAGGCGCTGCTTAGTAACCACTACAATTGAAAGTCCATAAACTCAAAAGGAAAAGAGTAATATCAAGTTCAAAATTTAGATCAATATTACATCATCAAAGAACCAGAGATATTCATTCATTAAAGAAGCATTCATGTGATATGTGCAAATAACCCATGAAATCAACCAAATGCATATCAAAATCCTATGACAATAATAATCACTTTAAAGACCATTATACTGGGTATAGAACACTATCCCTTTCACCAGATTGCCAATATAAGCCAAAATCAAATCTCATAAATGAAGAAAAGGTAATAATCAGGTCGTAATCGAATAAGAAAATAAAGACTTTTCTAAAATCAGTAGCAAAAACAACCAAACCGGCAAAGCAGAATCTAATTACTTGACCAATTATGAGCTAAAATCATTCCGTTATGTCATGAAACCCATAATTTCATAACCTGTAATTGGCGGCATCATCAAATCCGCAAGCCAAATCTATACAAAAGAAGTTAGAGGAGAAGAATCTGAAAGTTAGATAAATTACCTATCAGAGAAGAGCATGCCGGCACAGAAGCACCCAATACAAAGCAGAAAAGCCCATTTCCTTGACACCACACCCTTTGCAGATGGCTCATACCCTTTACTCTTCCAAGTCATTTTCCTCTTCTTTTCCCTCAGTAAAGCTAAAACAAAGCTAAACCCATTTCAAAACCCAAGTCAAGTCAACCCAGTGAAATAAATAACCCACCTTTCAGATCCAATAACCCACCTTTCCTTTCAGAATCAACATCAAATGCAGAGAAAGAACTTAATTTGTACAAGCTATGCTCTTTCTCTAACAATCTCAATAAAACACCACTCTGGAAAGAAATGTGTCTTTTCCAAATGGGTTTGAGATTCCCTTCTGGTAGATGGTAGAGGAGCAAAAACTGATGCTTTTGTAGAAAAGTTTGACATTTTTAATGTACGGTAAGATAGCAACCGACCTTCTAACGAACATTTTTAATTAGGTTGTCAGTCACTCGTCCTTTATGTTTACCTCTTTTTTCTTCTCTGTTCAATTAGGGATCGTGGAACATTTTTCAGTCCACCTGTGTGTTAGCAAAAGGCAAAAGCAACATTAATGAACGTTTATGCCATTCTTTGTTTTCTTCAATAGTAAAATAATGTGCAATCTATCCTATACCAACAATATATCTTATTATCATTAATAAGATGTAAATTTTTAATGTTAAAATAGTCTCATTATAAAATATACAATTGAGCGAAGTAAACTGCAAAAGCAAGTAACTCTTTCTTCCAATGCATTCTTTGTCCTTAGCGTTCTTGGTTGATGTATTTCTTGGTAGACAAATGTTGAAAGCTGTTAAACTGTTGCTGTCCCTGCTGATCCTGAAATACTAATTGCCCAAATCAATACAAAAACCCCATACCAACCATCAATTAAAGGGTCCCATCAATCCCACTTGCGCAGGAACACCAGCAGATTCTAAGAATATAATTATTTATCATGATGGAAAATCAATGCAAAGTTCAATAATATGTAACCTACGTTGAGGGTAAAAATGATTTCGGGTTAGATCTTGAAAATGAAGAGGTTTGATAAATAAAAGATTAATCTTCCTCTTCTATATCCCACAATTATCAGACAGATGATATAACCCACAACAGAAATTTTATTGCTGTCCTTTAGAGAATGATGAATGACACAACATTATTCCAACTGGGGTGGAGCCAAATTCCCAATACTGAGACATCCATAAAAGGGGTGGAGCATGTGGAAAGGAACATGACTCGAATAATGGATTTTACAGCTCATCAAGAACCTAACTTCCTTCCGTTAAAGCTTCATGGGAGTGGATAAAGATTCGCATTAAACACATTGGACATGGAGAGGCATATGATGCCCTTGGACCCAGTTCCAGCACTGGTAATTATCATAATTTGAAACTGTCATGTCATGTGGGTAACATGTGGATGAAGAGTCCCATTTCCAACGTTAAGGAGAAAGTGTCCATTGTTTATTTCCACTACAGCTACATTTCCCTTTAGATTTTTTCTTTTTCTTTTTCTCTTTCCTTTTTCCCATGATTGATCTATAAGACGTGATTATAATGTTAGGAAAAAGTATTGTACAGTTTGATTATATAATATTAATTATTGAATAAAAAGTAAGTCTCTTAATATTAGAGATTCTTGTTTTATCTAATAATTCATGTTTTATAATTCAGTCGGTAAAATAGAAAAACTAGTAATGCTATATCCTTCTTCATTCTCTTCACTTAACCCTCTATTTTTTCATATTGAAGACAGAACTCATGATTCCCACAGCCCAATTAATCATATCAAGAGATTTTACTGATTGAATCCTAACAATTGTAAAAAAAAAAAAAACATAACTGACTAAATTGATTAACACATTACTTCAAGTTCTATATACAAACTTAGATATAAGATTGAAGTAGTCACGTGTAAGGATTTAAGAGTTACTGGTGCTAAGATTAATTATTTAGATGTAACTTATAGCGGGTGTTTAGATTAGTTGTTTTAATACAATTAATAGCTTTTAATGGTTGATAATAATTATTATTTATAATTTAGAATATTTAATTAATTTAAATAGAGCCAACAATTAATAATTGTTTTTCAAACTCAACAACAAACACCCGCATAATTGATAATCAATAATTAACAATTGATATACAATATAATTATTTATATACTTGCAAAAAAAAAAGTATAAATATTTAGATTTTTCTTGCTATATTTTGAAAGACTTACTCTCTTTTGATAATATGATAAATTTTACGAAATAAACCCGCTCTTTGAAAAATGAGGTGATTTTGGTCTATATGACATGTTTGGTTTGCCATTTTTGTCCCACTAAAGCATAACTGCTCTCTCACTTTTTTATTACACTACTATTAACATATTTTACTTTAGCAACCAAAGAAAGGAAGTCTCCACTCTGAGTTCCACTTTTAACATGCATGTGTGTACATATTTTCTTTTTTAGAAAAACTTCTTAATTTCTTACAATGATGGCATCAATATTTTAAGAGTAAAAAGGGACATAATAAGGAAAATTAGGTCTATTGTGTGAAGATGATTGCCTTCTATCTCTTTATAGCAGGCTGGCCTAGTAGTAAGGCTCCATAAGTTGTCAAGCCAATGTCTCATCTAGCTAATATGAAATCTTTACCTCTGCAAACAACTTAAATAATTAAATAATAATTTTATTTTATTAAAAAAATAAAAAATTTTAAATTCAAATCATATAACATATAAGTAAAGCAAATTAAAAAATAAAAAAGAATTATGTTTCATTGTGTAATATAAGATATATATATATATAGAAATGCAATCTCGATCCCTCTTAAGTGGTCCTAATTAAAACCATATACTTTACCAAAATAATTTACAAAGTTTGATTGAAATCTATGAGGTGGCTGTTTCATGTTCGCAACATGTTCACTTTTATTTTAATCATGCTACGTACCCTGCATTTGACTTTGTGAAAATTGTCCGGTTTGACTCCACAACAGGCTTTGTTCCCTACCCTGTTTCTACCACCTGGATAAGGGGCTTCGTTACTTTGAAGAACCTCTTGATGCAATTCAAGCAAGTTTCAATAATGATAATTTAAGTGTATGTAAGCCTAAAACTTTTTGATTATTCTGTGCTTTACACGCCGCCTTATGTACTAAAAAGGAAAAATTTACATCTAATTCTTGCTTTTCTATACATGACATTAACAATGGTCAAGAATTGGTAAATGGGCCTGGGCTGAAAAAGAACTGGTAAATGAGGCCAATTCATTTGTGGGCTACTGGGCATTGTACTCTGGAGTCTGGACCAAATCCCAAAATCCCTAATTCCTTATCCAGTTGTGAGAAAATCGAGGTTTTTGGGTCATCTGGAAAC